TTGTTTTTTGTTTGTTCCTTTTTTACTCCGTCTCTCTCCCTCTTCCTCTTCTTCCTCTTCCTCTCCCCGACTTCCGTTAAGCACTGCCCTTCTCGCTCTCTCCCCTTTTCCCTTTTCCTCTAATTAACCCTGTTTCCTCCAAGTCTACTTTTCTCTAAAATGTTCATGTTTACGTCTACATTGTTAGTGTTTCATCCCTATTGTTTTCTTGGTGCTGCCTTTCGCCCATTATTTGTTTGTTGTTGTTGTTTGTTTGTTTGGTTGGTTGGTTGTTTGTTTGCGCCACTCTTCTTTGTTTTTCTTTTTGTGAATGTCTTTTTTTTCTGTCTTCGTTCCCCGTGTAACTAATCGTTGTATAACTTTCAACAGTGTCTGAGCGAACACAGTTGATAACTACTGGGTAACGCGTCGGGTTTCTCGGCTCGATTACTGTTCAGACACTCGAGCTTCTTCCTCCCTCCCTCCCTCCCTTCCTCCCTCCCTCCCTCCCTCCCTTCCTCCCTCCCTCCCTCCCTCCCTCCCTCCCTCCCTCCCTTTCTCCCCTCCTTTCCTCCATGTTTTACTCTTCTTCCATTTCTCCCTTCCCCTCCCACTTTTCTATCTCCATCTCTTGTTTTTCTTCCCCGTCTCTCTTTCTCCCCCTGCCTCCATCCATCCTTCCATCATTTGCTCTTCTTCCTCTCCCCCGCCTCCTTCCACCTTTCCACCTTCCTCTCCTGCCCCCCCCCTCCCCTTCCCTTGTATCTTCCCCCCCTCACCCTTCACCTCCTGCCGCCCCCATCCCCCCCCCCCTCACCCGCTCTCCTTCCGCCCTCCCATCCTTCCCCTCTTCTCGTATCTCATCGCCTCTCCTGTCCCTCTTCTTCCTCCTGCTTCCCTCCTATCCCCTGCCTTCTCTGTTCTCCCTCCCCCACTCCGCTTTCTCTTCACCCCTTCTCTTCCCTTCCCTTCCCATCCCATCCCTTCCCTTCCCTTCCCTTCCCTTCCCTTCCCTTCCCTTCCCTTTCCTTCCTTTGCCTCCTTCCCCCATCCCCTCCCCCTCTCTATGCTCCCTTCCTCCTCCCCCTCTCTATCCTCCCTTCCTCCTCCCCCTCTCTATCCTCCCTTCCCTTATCCCTCCCTATCCTCCCTTCCCCTATCCCTCCCTGTCCTCCCTTCCCCTATCCCTCCCTGTCCTCCCTATCCTCTCTTCCCCTATCCCGTCTTCCCCTATCCCTCCCTGTCCTCCCTATCCTCCCTTCCCTATCCCTCCCCCCTGCATTGGATAAACTCGTAGCCTGGCCTTCCTCTCGCCTCCTCCTAGAAGCGCTTCGTGCCGCCCGACCGAGCGAAAGGCAGAACGGAAGCCTTGGGAGCTGGCGCGGTGTCGCAGAGGCTATCAGTTGGGGGGAGGGGGGGAGGAGGAGGGGGGGGAGTGGAGAAAGGTGGTGGGGGAAGGGCAAAGAGGAAGAGGAGGTTGGGGGAGAAGGGAAGGGGTAGGGAAGAGGAGGAGGAGGGGGAGGAGGGAAATAACGTAGGGAAGTGGGGAAATGCAAGGAGGATGGGGAGAGAATGGAAATGGGGAGAGGGAAGGGGAGGATGGTAGAAAGGGGAGGAGGAGGAGAAGGTGGAGGATAGAAAGGAGGTGGGCGAGGGAGGAGAGGAGAAGACGGAAGGGGAGAGGGAGAAAGGAAGAAGATCAGAAGAAGGACACGAAGAGCCAAGAGCAGCAGCGAGAGGAGGAGGAGGAGGAGGAGGAGGAGGAGGTCCGTGGGCGTGGGTGTAGGGGCGGGCGTGGGCGGACGTGGGCGGGCCATGCACGGCGGCACCGTCATGCAGCAGCGGCGGCGCAGGCGGGACGCAAGCCGCGTTGGTGTCGTTGGATTCGAGGGAATGGATCCCCGTGGGAGCGCAGATGGGCGCTCGGGCGGCGCTGCTGCCGCTGATGCTGTGGTGGTGTTGACGGAGGTACGCGAGATGATGTTGATGGGACATTTTTTCTGTTGATGCTGCCGGTGATGTTGCGAGACGGCGCTTGACGGGGCGATGGTGTTGACGGCGCTGACGGGGATGGAGAGCGCGTCGGGGAGATGGAATGCGCGCGCGCGTGTGATTGACGTCACGGGCCGTTATCAGCGATTACGATCAGTTACTGGGCTGTCGGGATGTTTTTGTTCTTTGTTGTTTTGGTGTTTGTCTTCCTTGTTCGCTGTGTCGTTACCATCACCATCATAAGTATCATCATGAATACCACCACCACCCCTCACCAGCATTACTAACATCATAAAAAACACCACCATCACCACCATCATTATCATTATCATTACTATAATAATTACCCCCCCCCCCCCCCCCGCGCCACCACCACCACTACCGCCGCCGCCACCTCGATAACAGCAGCGCTTGTTGCAACTGTCTCGTAATCGTGTTGCTGCAGCGCCATGAATCTTCTCCGGCGTCGTAAACATCGCCTGTATTTAATGCCCGTGAAATATGAGTTGTCTTTGGCGAGGACTCAGGTACGGCCGCTCCGATGACTGGTCTCTCTGTGGCTGATAAAAGGGGCGATAGACCATTTTCATAGTGTGTGCGCAGGGATTGGTGGGGTGGGGGTTGGCACGGTGTCATGGGGATTGGTGCGGTGTCATGAGGGTTGGGACGGTGTCATGGGGATTGGTGCGGTGTCATGAGGGTTGGGACGGTGTCATGGGGATTGGTGCGGTGTCATGAGGGTTGGGACGGTGTCATGGGGATTGGTGCGGTGTCATGAGGGTTGGGACGGTGTCATGAGGACTGGCATGGTGTCGTGAGGTTGTGGGTGTTGTGGAGGATCGGCACGTGGGTATAGTGAGGGCTGGTATGGTGTTACGAGGACTGGAACGGAGCTAAGTCTGTTACAAGAATTGGTACGACTGCTTTGAGGATTGGTAGGCCGATTGTAACGAAAGTTAATAACGATTGGTATGAGGAATGTTACGAGTGTTACGAGGTTTAGCGCAAGGATTGTCACGAGGCCCGTGATAAGGCGAGGCCCGCGGCGCTGCCTTTGTGCTACCGCTACTATCTTAACGAAGGCTCGGATAAGAGCGCGGGCGGACAAGCACCTGTCCCCGGGGCGCTGCTCACGGCGTGCCCGGGCGGTGGCTGGTGTCAAAACTTTCTTTTTCTTGTCTTGTCTTTGGTCTTTTGTTTTGCTTTGTCTTTGTTTTGTTTCCTTATCTTGTTTTCTTTCCTTTTGTTGTTTGTTTTCTTTTATTTATCTTATTTGTTTTGTTTTCTTTGTTCTTCTCCCCTTTTCTTTAGCTTTGTTTTCTTTTCGGAGTTCCCTGTAACTGTTGTTTACCATTTGATTATCATCGAAAGGTCTGCCTCTCGTTTTCTTTGTTCCTTTCTCTTATATTCTTGTCATCTTTGTTCCCCTTTC